TTACGCTGGTTATTGTTAGTATGATTAGGGCAATGTCTTACTGTAGTATAGTGTCATTACCGTGATTCATTAATGAATTAGATTGCTAAATTTTTTAAAATAATTAATATAAGAAGAATGTAGTTGACCGAAGAATTCAAATATTGTATAGTAGAAAGTACGTTTATTCAGGAATTAATCATTTTTCTACAATATAGTATTTTACAAAACTTAAATATCACGAGAGTAATCAATTTATTATGTTGAGTTTCAGTCAACATGTTGATATTCAGGTAGTTATTAATAAAATATTTGTAAATTCTATTTATTTTTCTACACTTTCTAAGTTATGCACAAAATATGTTTCATTAAAAATAATTTTACTAACAATGGTCTAGCGTGCTTGAAATAGAGAGCATTCTATATATTATTATTACGTAGAATCAAGGGATTCTCCTTCTTATCATTTTCTTTTCGTTAAGCAAACAAAAATTAATGTTAAAAATGTTCTTAACATTTTGCGTTCTTCGCACAATCTTCTGTACAACATATTAATTGATATTTATTTAGGAAAACGAGAATGGTCATCGTAAGGCGTTGGTTCTATTGCGGATACCGCGAGACTACGACCTTGTCCTTGAACTGGATTCGCTGGCCTCGCGTAGAAAGTTCATTGCGAAATTGGAGGCATTTCTGGCGTCCCATAAGAAGCACTTCACTCTGTCCCAAGTAAGCAGGGACATTATGCTTGCAAAAGCGGAAACGAAGGAACGCCGCCAAAAGAAACTCGAGCAGGTACTTTTTTTGTATTCTTAGTTCAAATCGACTCCTATTTCGCCTTTTAAAGCTTTCAACGTATCACTTCCCGCTTTGTAAACTATGTAAGGCTAGTTTTTCCCTTTTCTGACAGTTCTTTAGGGAAGCTTACGCCCTGACGTTCGGTTTACGACCTGGTGAAAGGCGACGACGATCCGAAGATAGCGACAGCGGTGAGGTCGTTACCGTGATGAGGACGTCGCTTTCTAAAAGCGAATTTGCGAGCGCGCTTGGAATGCGTGCAGACGCTGTATTCGTAAAGAAAATGTTTAATATAGTCGATAAAGACAGGGACGGTCGTATCTCGTTTCAGGTAAAAGGTGTTGAATTTTAGAAGTGGAATTTTTAAGTTTCGCACCTTTGTACGACATATTTGTGCGACATATTTTGTATGTATTTTAAGTTACAGTTTCTTTGACTAATTAGCGCTTTCGGTTGATAAATTTCTCATTTTTGTTTAAGGAAAACATAATGTTATTAAATTATACCAATTATTTAATTAAAATTTAGATTAAAAAGTTTTAGCTTAGATTTGTATTCAAGATTAAGCGTTAAAGATTAAAAATAGTATATTAATTAGTTAAAAAGCAATAACCAAAAGCTAAGAATTCATCTATTTTAATAATATATCAAGGAACTAAAACATATATATCCATTTTAGGAATTTTTGGACACTGTTTTATTATTTTCACGCGGGAAAACCGAGGACAAATTAAGAATAATCTTTGACATGTGTGACAAAGACAGTAACGGAGTCATTGACAAAGAAGAGTTATCAGAAATGCTCAGATCTTTGGTAGAAATTGCACGCACAACTAGTCTATCAGACGATCATGTTACAGAATTAATCGATGGAATGTTTCAAGTAAACTTTCAGCTCCAAAATGTCTATCGTTAAAGTATCCGTATCCAGAACATCGATTGCATCTCCAATATGGTTTCTTTCAGGATGCCGGACTCGAGAGAAAGGATTACCTCACGTACAACGATTTCAAGCTGATGATGAAAGAGTATAAAGGCGATTTCGTTGCGATCGGTCTCGATTGCAAAGGCGCGAAGCAGAATTTCCTCGACACATCGACGAATGTAGCTCGTATGACAAGTTTCCATATAGATCAGCTTCCACCAGAGGATTCGAAAACCTGGGCTAAAAAACAGTGGGACGCTGTTTCGACATTTCTCGAGGAAAATCGCCAAAATATTTTCTATTTATTTGTTTTCTATGTCACAACCATCGCTCTATTCGTCGAAAGATTCATTTGTAAGTTCCTTTTTGGTTATTTTAAACCTAGGACTACCAAATCTGTCCAAACATGTAATAAGTTCTTTTTTTAACTTGCATTTTTCTTTGCAATTGAACAGCTTTCTGAAAAAAGGAACTATAATAAATACATGCATAGGTACTGAATATATTTTCTAGGGAAATAATTGAGTCGTTCTAAATTTTAGACTATTCCTTTATGGCTGAACACACGGATTTGAGACATATTATGGGAGTCGGAATCGCCATAACTAGAGGATCTGCAGCAGCCTTGTCTTTTTGTTACTGTCTACTCCTTCTAACGATGTCACGCAATCTTTTGACTAAGCTGAAAGAATTTTCTATTCAACAATACATTCCTCTTGATTCTCATATACAATTTCATAAAATTGCTGCGTGCACTGCGTTATTTTTCTCCGTTTTGCACACAGTGGGACACATGGTGAACTTTTATCATATCTCGACTCAACCATTAGCTCATCTTCGATGTTTGACCAGCGAACTTAGTTTCCCAAGCGATGCTCGGTTGACAATATCGTTTTGGCTTTTTAGAACAGTAACAGGTAGATATTTAGCTTAATTTTTATTTACTACAAATTACTTAATAATCATATAAATGTTTAAGTAACTAACTAACTAAATTATTTTTACAGGTTTAACTGGGATCTTGCTATTCGTTGTAATGACGATCATTTTTGTCTTTGCTCACCCAACTATTCGTCAAAAAGCGTATAAATTTTTCTGGTCCACGCATAGCTTATACGTAGTTCTATATGCATTGTGTTTGATACACGGTTTGGCTCGTTTGACTGGCTCTCCGCGATTTTGGATTTTCTTTGTTGGCCCTGCCATTATTTATTCTCTAGACAAGGTAAATTGAGTGATTATTCTATTGTATTTTATTGACTTTATTATTCAGATTTATAATTTTATCATCTAATTTTTCTATTAATTAGCTGTGCTTTGTGATAATTTATTTTTCAATTTTCATAAATAATAATTACTGCTATTAATTATTATATTATTATCTTATATTTTTTAAATTAATAAATTCCTTATTAATTATTACACTATTATTTTTAAGATGGTGAGCCTCCGTACCAAATGCATGGCACTGGACATCATCGAAACGGAACTGCTACCTTCAGACGTGATTAAAATCAAATTCTACAGGCCACCAAATTTGAAATATTTATCCGGTCAATGGGTTCGTCTTTCTTGTACCGCATTTAGGTCGAACGAATTTCATTCGTTCACCTTGACTTCTGCGCCACACGAGAACTTTCTCTCGTGTCACATTAAGGCGCAGGGACCGTGGACTTGGAAATTGCGCAATTACTTCGATCCCTGTAATTATAACCCGGAAGACGAGCACCCGAAAATAAGAATAGAAGGACCGTTCGGTGGTGGCAATCAAGATTGGTACAAGTTCGAGGTCGCTGTGATGGTTGGCGGTGGCATTGGTGTCACTCCCTACGCCTCCATGTTGAACGATCTCGTGTTTGGAACTTCTACCAATAGATACTCTGGAGTTGCCTGTAAGAAGGTAATTATAACTGAATTTTATCGTATTCAGATAAAAAAAAAATGATATTTTTGCATAATATAAATATTTAATAATGTTTATGTTATTATATTTTATTAAATTTAGGTTTATTTCCTTTGGATTTGCCCTTCTCATAAACATTTCGAATGGTTCATTGATGTACTAAGAGATGTAGAGAGGAAGGATGTTACGGACGTGTTAGAAATTCACATATTTATTACGCAATTTTTCCACAAATTCGATTTACGCACAACCATGTTGGTAGGTTATTGGACAGTTATAATTTGGAAAATTACATTTTTATTATATGAACACGAATTGAACTAAATTTCTTCGTTACAGTATATTTGTGAGAACCATTTCCAAAGGCTATCCAAGAAAAGTATATTCACTGGGTTAAAAGCGATAAATCATTTTGGTAGACCCGATATGACGTCGTTTCTAAAATTTGTTCAGAAAAAGCATAGCTACGTAAGTGTTAGAATTACTTTCGCTTAATTAATACACATTGGAATATTTAATCTTAAAATTAAATAAATTATCACGAATTAAAATGAAACGTTATGAATATTATTTAAAACATTAAATATACTAATCTAAATGTTTGTTTTAATTAAAATGTTGCCGTAGGTTAGTAAGATAGGAGTATTTAGCTGCGGACCACGTCCTCTGACAAAGAGTGTGATGTCATCCTGCGACGAAGTGAATAAAGGTCGACGCCTGCCGTACTTCATTCACCACTTCGAAAACTTCGGCTAGTCTAGTTGATATCATTCCAAGAAAAGAGTAGAAGAAGAAAAACGATGGACTCTATCGTGAATCTCGTGCAATTCTATCAAGTGTACATATTTATGCGCGTACGCGCATGCCTTATTTATATAACAAATATTATATTTCTTATTTATGATTACAAAAGAATGAAAGAATATTTGTTTCTTCAATTTACGTATGATAAAGTCAGTATTATTAATGTCAGCCCTATTGCGTGATATGACATTGATAAACAGGACTGATCAAACTGAGTGAGAAGATTTTCAAGCTCATTATCCTGGAACTCCTACATATCTCTTTAAATTAAATATCTTCTTAACCGCTTAAGGATTGAATTTTTATTTAAATTGTATCGAAAATCTGTATCTCTTCTTCTATTAATTCATTTTATTAAATATAATTTGAATTACGAAATGATTCTAAATTTAAGAAAATTTTCCTTCTGGAAATGTCAAAAGGTTCAGTGAGAATTTATCACCTATGTTAATTTCCCAATTAATTATTAGGTAATTGGTTAATTAATTTAAAGAGACATCCGATGGTAATTAAGTAAATAAAAGAGTTAATTTAGCTTATGTCCTTAAGCGGTCAAACAATTAAGTTTATCAAAAAAAGTAGAAAAGCATATTTCACTGTAGTTACTGTTTATTCCCTTCCTTTCTCCATAGGAGTTCTAGGGCTAAACTTACAGTTTTAAATGAACAAAAACTTCTGTTAAAACATATTGAGGAATTTGTTAACACTAAAAGATTATGTAGCATTTATAATCAGGTATTGATAGGTCTACGTGAAGACGATGGAAACGGATAAGACCAGTTGTTCTTTGATGAGTCTTCATTAGAGTCATGATGAAATTCTGAAGGCTCGTGTGACGTATATCCTCGATTTATCACACCTTGTGTCTCTTCCTTGATATCGTGTCTATTTTGTAGCTTGGAAGACAATTGACTGAAAGGATAAAAATTCCAGATCTATGTAATAAGTTCTAAATCGCCATACTCAAACCTGCTGCTGATTAATCCAACATATCATATAATTAAGCAAACATGAATTTAAATAGAACCTTATTATACGATCACCAAATGAATCCTCGATTTTAGGTAATCTTCGCCTGACGTTCCTCGTATCGAAACTCTCTTCTATGATAACATGTCTGTCGTACGGCGTATCGTAATCAACTTCCAATATCGTAGAGAACTGATGAGGAAAAATCATTTCTATCGCCGTAATCACCACTCCAGTGAACATACATCCGATACCTAGAAGAATTCACTTCCTGAGGATCCAATTTTCCCTTTTTCATCAATCATGTATTCTATCATACATTCAATTCAAACAACATTTCATTTTCAGGCGTTTAGATTTAAAACCGTAGATCTTCTTAACTTAGATTTTAGACTTTAGAGCTGAAGACAAAAGTACTAACCAGCTAACAATACAAGCCAATAATTCCATCCCAAATTAAAAGCAAGAATGGAACCATCGATATGTGCAATGAGAGGCTCGCAAGGTAAAAGTGCCCAGTAGATTAAATTGGTCAGAAGCATACATATCCCGGTGAAGATCATGCCGTAAGCGCCATACCGTGGCACTATTATTAATAACAGGTTCATCATGGCCCAAGAAGTAAAGGACGTCCTAGAAAGAAGCAATTAGTCAACGTATAAATAAAAACGAAAGATACAGTCAGGACAGAAGAATGAATTAAGAGTGACTCAATGGCAAAGGTATTTTCTCGAGGCATACCAGAGCATTAACGACGCGTAGTAACCAGCCTGTCGATATTTGCTTCCCCAGGAAAAGCCTTCTTGATGAAGGCTGAAGTATTCGGCTAGAGAAACTATAGGAAACGGTGCACCCTGGTTCAATGCTTGCTTAAAGGCACTCGTCATCTCTCCTGTACTCCTCCACCAGAATCTTTCGTTATACTCCACGTCGTCCATTGGATTTTCGCTACTTGGTAGCACTTTATGTGGAAATTATTAAAATAATGAAAAGAGAATAACTGAAATATTAAATAGCGTTATATAAGAGCATTAATTTAAGATGCATCAAATTGTATTTGAACCCATTTTCTAACAGCTGAAGCAAGTCATTTGTAATACTGTTTCATAATTGAGAAAGTGACCTCGAGCAGACAATTGATTTTGGACGCACAATAGGCGACTGGCGGCAGGTTTATTATAGCAACTTACGCCTGTAGGTGATGTTTATATGCATCAGACCGATATATCCTCCGATTTCCGCAGCAGTTTTCTGTCTCGAGAATGCACTGTATGTGCTAACAATGGTCGCGGAACTGGTGTGCCAGGATGATCCATATTGAGCGACTGTAATCATATAAAAGGAATCGCATACATAGATATACATATAGTTCAATGGAAAAAAGTCAGTTAATTGCGAGCAAAGTGGACTACACAAACCTTGGATCGACGCTCCAACGAAAAGGCTCAATGTCACCGTGAGAAACGTGCTAATACGCTGTCAACCATAAAAATTTGTAATTACAGCAGTAACCAAATAACTAAAAATTATACTCATAATTATATCATTAACTAGAGAATTAAACTTTAAATTAGGGCTAAAATGGGATTAAACTTCAAATTTGGAATGAATAAGGGGTAAAAGGAAGAAGGAAGTACTGACCTCCTTTCGTATTCCAGGAAATATGACAAGGAACGCGGTAAAGATGGTGCCGAATATAACAAACACAATCACTAGAGGAACATCTCCCGTAACAGGCGTACGATTACTATAGCTATACAACGTGGGTCCTCCGTCTATACGGAAAGCGTCGAACCATCCCTTCATCTTTTTAATCGAATCTTCGAGTTCCCTTCGACCTTCAGGGAACCGGCCAGTTCCGGTTCTCCTTGCAGACCACTTGGCATCAGTGGCTTTCCCTGAGCATCCATCGAGTATAAATGTAACAGAGAGCAAATCACGGTGAATTTTACCCTTCTGCGCTCTTTATTTTCAAATCTCTATTCTTGAAAAATCTCTTATATTCGAGTTTCTCTTCGGAAAATTTCTTAAAGTATGAAACAATCACGTGTGACTTCTCGTCTCAAATTTTTCTGACAGATTTTCTTACAACACACAAAATCCTCTCTTTCAGTTCAAACCAAAGCGAAATTAGGATCACAGTATAAGTAATAGGAAACGGTATAAAGTCAAAGTTTCTAAGAATTTGTGTACCTTAGGTCGCCACGCTCTGGCTACCAGCACCCAAGGACGATTATTGTGAAAGAACGATGCACGATACGGGCACCTGCACTGCGGACATGGAAGGTTCGAAGGCAGCTCGAACACTAAGAGCCACAGTAGGTTAACGGGTCTTCGAAAGCGATCTCCAGGCATGGAGTAGAGGGGACTGAGAGTCTTAATGCGTTTAAGAGGGGAGCATGAAAGAGAAAAAACGGACCAGGTGGGGCTGGCTAACTCTCGAAGGAGTCAGCCACCACCTAGTCCAAATAGAGGAGGCGAAGAGAGACAAAAGGTGTTCTCGATCAGCTGAGCCAGGAAAACGCGGCTCAGAGCGAGAGGTGCGTGTCTGGCGCGTTTTATTTCGGCGGATCGGCGATCGATGATCCCGGATGACGACACGAGACGTGACACGTGAGCGTGGATCGCGTGGCATGCTTGATGGCACGCGGGCGACTTCGACGCCTGCATAGACGATGACGCTTGCACCTCGATTCCCGGGGAATTTTTTTCTTGCTTCGTCACACGTACACCTGAAATAAATTCTGGTTAAGAAGAAGAATATCTAAATAAATTTATTCGGAGATGTGAATATAATGGATTATGTAATGGATTGCATGGTTGTTTATCTAAGGTATGATTGTTTATTATTAAGAATAACGTTAAAAATGTATTACTACTTTGTGTTTGGTCACATATATGCTTAAAATAAGTTCTGATTAGGAAGAAGAATATTTAAGTGAACTTGAAGATGAGACTATAATGGATAATGTAATGGATTGCATGGTTGTTCGTTTAACGTATGAGTATTTATCATCAACAATAATACTAAAAATTTATTATTATTTCGTGTTTCGTCACATGTACGCTTAAAATAAGTCCTGGTTAAAAAGAGGAGTATTTGAGTGGATTTACTTGGAGACGTATCATTAGTTGATGCATTGGATTTTTAGGTTGTTAATTTAAAGAGAATATATGTTTATTAATTGATCATAATATTACTATCAATGATAATATTAAAAATTTGTTATTACATGTTATGACTAATCAAAACATGAACGTGGTTTTCTTGTAGAAGTTTAAATGTAGAAAAAGTGCCATGAAAGTTACTGGAAAAAAATTTTGTATCTCTGTAGAGAATTAAAGATGTAATCTATTCTCCTTAAACGATTTTTTAATGCATAAATGTAAAAGAAACGTCTAAAAGAAAATATAATAGCATTATTTCACAAATTTTTGAAAGTTCTTATAAACCTGGAATAATGAGACAAGCGAGTAGGAAAGTAATATTAAAAGTCAAAGAACAAAAATAGCGATAAGACATGCAACAGTTAATCGAGTTTCTGGGGTAGTTGAGAATGTTTAATGACGTTGCTAGATGATCTGCATGAGACTATGATGATTAAACAGAAATAAGGCAACGTGGATTTAGTCTCATCCTGCACGTCAATTAAGTAACGTTCATGCTTCAAGTTCAATTAGTTCAGGAGGAAAGAGGCACTCTAATTACTTTATAATTATAAAAAATGAAGATAAACGGTGTCATATACATAAATATATATGTAACTGGATTTCAGGTGCAATTAAAGCTAAGAATCAGCATCGTAGACGTCCAACTAGCAGCATTTAACTATTAAAGGAGACTACATTCCAAAACTACATACTCATTATCCAACGGAAGGTCAGTATCATTCACTTCATCAAACTCGTTCAAACCCACTATCCTTCGTCTTATATCTTCCACTAATTTATGTTCTATTTCAGGCTCATTCTTATTATCCTGAAATTATAATAGATAGCGCTTGTTAAAGTAATAATATGGAACGTTTAATAAAATTCGTAAGCAATTACGGTAGTGTCTATTTATGATTTTTACGTAATTAGTTACAACTTTACTTATTTGTCTACACTATATTATTAGTTAGTATATATTATTCTCTTTATTTATTACTTCTCCTGGTTTACTAATTCTTTAGAAATATGTTGCATTATGTCTTCTTTATTCAGATACATAATTAATAACAGCTTAAAAAGCAATGATTTATATTGATAAGTTTATTTATCACAAGAACATGGCATAGATAATCCTAAATTTCAAGGTATATATTAAAAATAACATTTGTAATCGTCATCTTTCTTTGTACTTTATTTGTAAAAGTAATTACTTTTCATGGCTACGTACGAGACTTTTAAGCGACTTAACTCATAAAACAAAGATCTCTCCTACAATCTGAAAACTATTCTATCCTAACAGGTACTGTCATGGAATAAAATTTCACACCATACGAATTTCATTTTAATCTGATCGTCTCGCAATGGCACATCATAATATTGCAAACAATATCTTTTTGCTTCTCATCTAATACTAATATTCTAATTCACGTTTTACATTTTTATCTAATAGTAATAGAACCTGTATTCGCTCAACATCATTGATTTCTAAACTAAAAAGAACAATCTTACACGAAACAACACCCATGACACAATTAATTTAATTAACTGTAATTTCGTTTAACGACAGCTTTTAAGCATTAAAAAGCCACATATCTATAACAACAACGAAAAGCCTAAATCCAACACACTAACCGATCACCAGAGTAATATTTCTAATCGAGCCATAGAAACTCGTCAACGCGGACAAGCTCTCGAACCGAACTCTCACCTGACTCACATCCTCCGCTCCGCAATAAAAGCAACCCACAGAATACTGGTCAACGGAGTTACTGGAACGTAAAATCCCGGATACGAGCTACCGTTTTTCATTCATACGGCCACGGCCAGGTGTCCACTCGACTGGTACTCGCACACGTAGCTTGATTATCACGCGCGACGTTCGTTTAGAAGCAAAGAGGAGGATCCTCTAGTCTGTGCCAAGAAGGTGGACCACTGGTGAGCGTGTGTCCGCGTCCGGTACCGGAAGCGTACACCTCGATCCAATCGTCACGACGTACACGATAGCGAGGTATGCGTCCAGGCTGGTCCATAGTGCCGGCAATAACTCGGCTGCTATTTCAGGAGATCTAATTCGAGCCGGGTGACGGTAAGCTTTTAACAGCAGCGCTGCTAGCATCATCCACCGTCGTCGCCAGTGCCACCACCACCACCACCACCTATGGCACCTCCACCACCACCACCGCCAAAGACGACGATAACCACCGGAACGAAGAGTCTGGTGGCAGAGAGGCTGGTGCTCGCGCAGTCTCCCGTGCGCGCAGTTCCTCAATACACCGACACTGTTCCTCTGATCCTTCAAGGTAAATCATATATTTCATCGTTTTTTAATTAAATCGCATCGATTAAACTATGGTTACGGTGGGGTGTTCCGACGAACTGTAGTTTCGATGGATACGTCAGAAAACTGAAATTCAGAATGTCTCGTATAACGCGCGTAACATATTTGGAGAGGATTTCTAGTCACTCGATACATACAAACCATGTGTCGCTTTTTCGGATAAGATTTTAACGTTTTGCGGCTCGTGAAAGTATTTGGATACACCAGAGCAATGAAATAGCAATTTAGAATGTTCAGGATAACTCATAATATATTTAGAAAAGGTTTTTAATAGCTTGGTGCATATGAACCACGTGTTGTTTTCTGAAATAAGATTTTTACAAACGCTCATAGTTATCGTAGAAAACTTTCATGTATATGTACCTGACTAGAAAAACTGCGCATCATTGTGTTTATTGTAGCATTTACACGTTAATTAGTTAGGTGCAAGCATACTTAACAACACTTACATGTGATCGCAAAAGTTTGATACCATGAAAATGAAACGTAGAACTTGATGAAAAATTGCTTTATTAGGAGATACAATTTTTTTTGTAACCACTGTATATTTAGTGCAAATGAATTATTCGTTATATTAATAAGCCCGAATATTCAAAGGAAACATCACTTAAAGCTTATTATACATATATTTAATATGGCTATTCATACTGTATACTGATTTTTTTACTAAATATATGCTTATAATAAATATCTTGTAACTTATATATATATGTACAGTTTCAGATTGATTTCAATTTTATAATCACGATAGTCGTGTGTCATTACAGTGTCAATGAAATTTCAAAATGTGTTACGTAACATACATAACATATACATGAAAGTTTCCTGTGGTAAGTGTTCAGATACTTTTAGCGGCTACTGTATGCATATACAATGATTTTTACGAATGTATGCATTCCGGCCTTCGAACGTTTCATTTGTCAGGACACGCGTTTATTGTAACTATAGCCTTATTCGCTCTTCGTCGTCGATCTTCTTAAACCGTCAAGCTTCCTTCCCTCTATTTACTCGTTGTTAGAGAATGAAGTATTAAGAATAAATAATAGTTGGTTGTAAAAGAGAATCGTAAAACGAAGATGAGGAGGAAGACAGGGAATTTGAATAGAGAATTCGTGTTTGAAAAACAGAGTTTTAACGAGAACGAAGAACTACCAAGAGAGACTCGTCATAGCATTGATAATGATTAAGTTGTGCTACAACGATCGAAGATTGTTGGACGTATGCCCCTTAAGTTGACTCGATTCATGTACGTCGCCAAAATCGGCCAGCTTTCAAGCAACAAACTGCTCGCTTGGCAGACGTCCACGAGGAACGTGTGGACCGCGATCGCCTCGAATTTGATCGCCTGGTATCTCGCGCGTTTTGGAACAGAAGGTCGTAAGACGCATATTTTGCATAAATGTAAAATCGTTCGCTAAAGCTCAACGAAGACCAATCAAGCTTTCTTGAGGTGGACATTAAAAAATTATTTATTTCGAGTGGCTGAAATTCAGTGGCTTTCTAATCTCTAGGATCTTGATGCTCTCTTACCAACGAATAGCAGTTGTTTCGATGAACTTATAATAGATGCAGGCGATATAGCGAATGTATGAATCATAAAATCGCTTAGTGATTGAAGTTTACAACTCTCGACGACTGTGACAATTAATTCGAGACATAATAGGTTTCATAAGGAGCTTGATGTTAACTCGCAATCAATTCATTCTTTGCGGTATATCTAAGAGAAATGAAACCTAAGTGGAAATTTGTTAGATGTCATAATGATTATGTTACACTTTCGATATTTTCTGTATTTCTATATGTCTCTGCGTCTTTTAATTCTCCACGAACGCGTCAATCATCCGCAATCTATCTATCATACCGCAATGTTACTTCGCTTTCTTTTATTTAAAAGAATACTAAGCGAATCCTTGGAATTCCTTTTCGTAATAACATTAAGAAGATTCGACAATATATTTCAATTAATCGAAGAAAAAATGATAAACGATAGATACTTTCGCTAACACGACAAACCACAGAAAAACCTTTAATGGGTTTAACTATGCTTTATGACCTTACTGTATCGTCTATTATACCTTTCTACGTTAATAAATGAAACAGACACGAATCAAGTAGGAAAATATTTTGAAAAAAACTGAAGGCAAGGAGACGTCTACCACGGTGAAACTTCTCAGAACTATTTATAAAGCACACGGCCTCGTGGTAGAACGCGGTTGCCTATCATGGTCGTCCCGCGTGCAAAGCAAACTGACCGGAACTTTCGCCCGCTTTCTCACCCTCGATCTTGCAGAGGCTTTGCAAACTTGATCTTTGCATAAGTAAATGATGTGCGTTTCGTAGATGATAGAGGATTCTTGCTGAGTAACGTCTCGCTTTAAGAGTCATTGACACGACCTTTTTTCTGGGCTTCTGCTGTTAGGAACGTATTTATGAATGTACGTATGGACGTATTAAAATGCTGAAAGCTGGACGAGACGAATGGCAAGTTCTACGTAAGTAGGTTTTTCGTTACCTGAAAAGTTTGTTGTCTTCTGTGAATAGATAATATACTTTTCTTATGGCAAGAAGATTGGCAATTTATACGAAGGATTTAAGTCTGTTTGATTTAATATCCTAGTCTAGTTTGCTTTTAATCGAACGTTCTAAGTATTAGACTTATTGTTAGACGGTTAGTTGATTTTTATGGATAAGAAGCTTTGTTTGCAGGAAAATGAGTATTTAACAATTCATAAACAGGTTTTAAGGTTTCGTTAATATTCCAATTTATTTTAATATTCGTGGTACTTTCTTAATATTAAAGTTACGATATCGGCTCTTCCGAATAGGAAGTGCATTATACTGTTTAATCTATGATAAATAACATCGTGGTGTTAGATTTTCTTAGATTTTCCCTGATGTATCCTTTTATAGTGTACAATTATTGAAAGTCGACGTTTGTGCGTAGGTTTCTTGTTATTGGCAAAATTAGCCTTCGGTGGTTGGATATTACCCAAAAATTCATTATACTCGATGGATATTTCTTAAATGCTTGAAACGAATATTTTGCAATTTCTCAATCTCTTATCTAAAAATTGAATCCTCCATTATTATCATTGCTACTTATTCTTCTTATCATATTAATTTTATCATATTAATTATCACGTTAATATTATTATTTCTACTTGTTTTTTCTTTTATTATAGAATATAATATAGAATATAATATAATATATTATATTCTTATATTATATCTCTATTATTATATCCACAATTATACGCAATTGCAATGGGCTTTCACAAAGTCTATAGTTAGAAATTTGTCATACGAAACAACGATAGGTACAGAAAACATAGAAACTTGCACGTTCCTTAAAATACTCTTTATGATCACGTTGTGTGAACGTTTAGTGTTCGTTCTCTGTCCCTTTGTTGCTATTCTAAGGTATCAACATGAGCATCTTCTCCGAGTGACTAAAAAACACTTCTCAAGAGATTGGAATAATGCCGGAAACACGTTTAGGAATAACACGCGGTTTTGCAGCTTTTGCGTTGATTTCTCAGCGAAAGAAGTGAATGAGTAAACGCTTTTGGATTGCGCAACGTTCACGGAAACGTTTATTATAGTACACAAAGCAACAACTGTGTTTGTTTAACTCTATTTCCAAAAGATTCGCAGTCAACAGTGATACGAGCATAACCGAAGACCGAAACACTTTTATTACCATCGATTAAAGAATTCTTAAGCATCCTGATACGGTGTACGTATCGTTTCTCGTTGCTGCATTTTTATAAATATTAATTTCTATTTGTAAATTTCGACTTGTTTTATTCGTTTCTATTTATGTTTATTTATTTTTCGCCTTATTTATAATTCGCTCGTTCTCTTCCATTCTATAAGATATTTTATTACGTCAACATTTTTCGAACGATATACAGCAAATAATAGTCGAACTTATGTTCGTAATACGAGCCTCTCAAAATCCAAAGTAATCAATTCCACTTTTTGTAAATTTCTCGATATTATTAATAGATAGTATAATTAATGTTCGATTCTCGAGAAACCAGTGATCTCCTTCCATAAGTTTATTCATCGCAAGGATATGACACGAATAATAATAAATGCGAAACATTAACGTCATACCTCTGTACCTTTTAATTTACGTAACTAACCAGCGCGACTTCTGAATAGTTGGTATAAGTGAAAGAATTGATTGAAACTAATTCAGCGCAAGGTTTAAACTTCGAATGCTATGAAATTATTTCGTGCGGCATTAAACGAGACGAAAAACGTTCTAGAAACGATCGAGACAGCGGAATAATTTACGAATCACGATTCCAAATATGTAATCGGTATACTGTATCGGGAGCATAGCTTGCATAGAATCGGCCGCAGAGGACTTCCTAATTTCCGTATTCGCGAAAACGGGTCAAAGCTATTTTCGCGCGAGGCCTGTCGTGTTCGAAACAGCCGCCAACGCTTCTCTGCCATCGAGAAATGCACCAGACTAGACCTAGAGTCGTTCATTTAACGTTCTCGACCTGGACGCGATCGCATGCGGTTCATTTTCGCGGAAACGCTGGATCGGGAATCCTGAAAACGCGCCGGTTACTATTATTCGCCGGTTAC